CATTTAGGGTGGATGAATTTGCTCTGATATTATGTCAATACGAATTGCTGTACAGACTTGTCAAATCATTAATTCTTTGCAATTATGATATTCTGTTCTATCTACTCATTTTTAAAGGGATACTGTAGGCACCCAGACCGCTTCAGCTCATCGAAGCTGTCTGAGTGCAGTGTTCCTATTGTCCTAAGTGTTGCAATGCAAAACATTGCAGTTCCAGAGAAGAGGGCTCTGGTTTGAAAGTGAACTTTGTCCATTATCTGATGCTGGACGTCCTCATGCATAGTGTCAGACCTCCAGCGTCAGATTTTTCCCCATAGGAAAGCATTGATTCCTATGGGGAAGTCTAATACGCGCATGTGCCTTATAGCCTGCTCATCATGGAACGCAGCAGGGGGAGGAGCTTAGATCAAGCACAGAGTTACATTGGTAAGTAAGGTTAGTAAATAAAGGTGGTAAGTAAATAAAGGGCTTTTAACCATTTGTTTACCGACAAGGGGGGAGGGGTGTGAGGGAGAGGGGAGGCAGGGGGAGCGAAAGTGCCAGGAATACAGGTTTGTTTAGTATCCCCTTTACTGACCATTAATATGTTATTGTCACATACTTCATCAACAGCAAAGAAAAAACATTTGCTACCAATACCAAAGAAGCTTAACAAATCTCAAAATACTGGGCCGTCAAGTACACATATAATACGTAGGGAATTACCTTACTTGTAATCCTCTTATATTTTATATAATTGCACACAATCCTATAGAGATCATATGTCTGAAATATGGTTGACATATAATAAAATGTTAATCCATAAGGATATTTCATAGACTCTGGTGTCAATTTTCTAAACTCTTTCTTATTTACTAGCATAGTCAATAGGCTGACCGTTGAGTATTATTATCCTATATATGTTGAAGAAACCATAATCCCATCTTCTTGAATGGGTTATGGTAATTATGGTCTTGCATGGACCAGAAAGCAGAAATAAAAGAACTCTTGAACACCCTGATGCACCTTCCCCCCATCCCCACTGACACACTACACATGTCATAAAAAGTTATAAAATAGTGGAGAGTTATTTTTATTATTACTGGTATTTATTCTGATATATTTGTTCATGCGCCTAGCTATTTACATTGTAATCACAAACAACCATATGAGAGTGTTCTGTTTGACAAATTAATCCCTTTTGTATACAGGAGCATTGCTAGGTGGCAAAAAGACCAGGGGCTTCAGCCCAAGGGTAAATTGTATTTGTCTCTCATATATATTAGATCCTGCACCCTCTGATATTTTAATAGTCCCCACCAACTGACCACAGGTTAGGGCAGGATAGACATTAGGATTATCTTTTATTAAATAGCCCCCATCTGCTGGCCATGGCTGGGGGCATGGGACCTCTCTGACGAGTAGGTAGCAATGGATGCCCAGCTGTTTGTTTTAAACATTTAGTAGATATTCCCCATCTGTCGTTTAAACCTCATGTATAGTAATATGAGGGTTTCACTAACCTCCATAGTGTCATTTATTTACTTATTCATTTTTTGTAACTTTTTTAATGCAGATTTGCTTAGGCCAACTGAATTCCAACCATATTTGGTAATTTTTACTGTATTTTTGTTCATTCGGATCAAATCCGGTGTTAATGAACCGTTAATAACTAGAAGTTAAGGAAATAGGATTATTTACTAAACAATAAATAGCTGTGAACTCACCAGGGAATCACAACTTTTAGATCAAAATAGCCTAATTGCTAAACTCTCCAAATCAGATCTCTAAAAGTTGTGTTTCCAGATAATTAGCTGCTTTCTAGTCAATTTCTGACTATTTGCAGTTTACTGATAATGTACAGTTTCATGAGCTAGTTCCTGCACGTTTTTCACATTTAGAACATATACGTTGTACAAATGGCACAAAAACAAGCACTGCTGAACAAAGAAATATTTAATTTATGGGAAAATTCTGATGCACATCGTATCAGCTGTTAAGAAGGTCCAGTGCAATTCACCAAGGGTTTGATTAAAGTTTTCTTGTGGCTGGCAGGATCTGACAGTCCTTCTGGAACATTTTTTATGGTGAATCATTAAGAATGATTTAGTAGTGGGATGAGGAACAATAATGCTAAATCACTCATTCTCATAAACATGAGATCATCACTTTGCCACTCTAAAAGAAAACCAAACACAACTACCCAGAATTTCTAACTATAGTAACACAAAGCTGAATATGAAATCTATGGGTGAATTGTTCCTCGTGAGGAATGATAACGCTTAAAAAATGGCTCTACTCATCATTTTTTTGCCTCCCATGATGTGTGTGTGTACAATACACATATATTTCTGTACATGCACTCAATCAGATAACTTAAATGTGTGCAGGTCAAACAGTTCTTTTTTTTTGGTTTTGTTAAATCACAGAAAAATATCTTCACCATCTAGAGCCACTAACCAGCCTTGCATATGTAATACAATTAATTAGCAATTTGTATTCACCACTGAAAAAAATCTGTAGTTTCGGATAAAACAAGCAACAGATCAAATAAAAAGAACAGTTAGACAGACAGAAACAGGTCAAGACACTAGGAGTGCATGTAAACTTGCAATATGAAAAGGAACACAGGAATTTAATATAATATGATAGCCGACAAAAAGCAGCATGCAATATGGCTTTTTTAAAGGGAATGTAGCAGGCTAAGTAAAGAAGATGTGTTGATAAGATTGTGAAAATTCTGATAAATCACCTGTGAGCCAGGATACAGGATGTTTTATATCTCTGGTCATAAAACATCCTGTATCCTGGCTCCTGAAAACATCCTGATCCTCTTTTGAGACTCTGTGTGTACTGTCGCCGGAATCTACCTGAAACTCTTATCTTCTGTAAATCTGCAAGATCCTGTTTGAAAACTGTTTGGAAGCTTCCTACACCCCAAGAAATCCTAAGTGGGGATAAATCCACTTATGCTGATATCACAGAGCAGTCCGTCTGCTCTCTATTTGTAAGTACGTTTTTATTTAATCTATACTGACACTATTATACAGTGAGCACTATTGTCCGTTTATTCTTTCCTGAGAACTGGACACCATTGACGGAGAGGTACCCACTACATATCCCATAAGCGGGGATTATACCGCTGTACGCGCCTTACCCTAGAGCTGGATATAAGCTCTTGTAAATGTGAGTTCTCTACCATTATTTTCTATCACGTCCATATTTGAGCTATACATATTGCACTATTGGTTGTCCCTCTCTTTTATCTTCTATATAAGTGGAACCACTACTATATCTAAAGACCTTACCACTGTACCAGCCTCCTTAAAAGACTATTCGTAAGGATATACAAGTTGGACGTCTTTTTATTTGCACTTTATTTTCTTTTATTTTGTTTTAAATATTTTATGTGGCACAGCCTTTTCTATTGTTGCTTTTACTTGTCTTGTTTTAAAGGGTTTTGAGGTATTCCCTTTTAAGGGTTGCTGCCTATCAGTTGACCAGCGCTGTCTCATCCATTTACCATTACAGCTATTTTCAATAGACCCGAAGTTCTAGAATGGTCAGTTTTATTGAACATTTAGGGTGGATGAATTTGCTCTGATATTATGTCAATACGAATTGCTGTACAGACTTGTCAAATCATTTTTTCTTCGCAATTATGATATTCTGTTCTATCTACTCACTTTTAAAGGGATACTGTAGGAACCCAGACCACTTCAGTTTATTGAAGTGGTCTGAGTGCAGTGTTCCTATTGTCCTAAGTGTTGCAATGCAAAACATTGCAGTTCCAGAGAAGCTGCAATGTTGACATTGCAGCACTAAGTCAGCCTCTAGTGGCTGTCCACCAGCCAGCCGCTGGAGGGCTTCCTGGTTTGAAACTGAACTTTGTCCATTATCTGATGCTGGACATCCTCATGCAGAGTGTCAGACCTCCAGCATCAGATTTTTCCCCATAGGAAAGCATTGATTCCTCTGGGGAGGTCTAATACACGCATGTGCCTTATAGCCCACTCATCACGGGACGCAGCAGGGGGAGGAGCTTAGATCCAGCGCAGAGTTACATTGGTAAGTAAGGTTAGTAAATAAAGGTGGTAAGTAAATAAAGGGCTTTTAACCATTTATTTACAGACAAGGGGGGAAGGGGTGTGAGGGAGAGGGGAGGCAGGGGGAGCGAAAGTGCCAGGAATACAGGTTTGTTTAGTATCCCCTTTACTGACCATTAATATGTTATTGTCAGATACTTCATCAACAGCAAAGAAAAAACATTTGCTACCAATACCAAAGAAGCTTAACAAATCTCAAAATACTGGGCTGTCAAGTACACATATAATACATAGGGAATTACCTTACTTGTAATCCTCTTATATTTTATATAATTGCACACAATGCTATAGAGATCATATGTCTGAAATATGGTTGACCTACAATAAAATGTTTCAGTCATGGTTGAATGTACCTGTAATGGACAAATCCACAGAGTAATCCATAAGGATATTTTCATAGACTCTGGAGTCAATTTTCTAAACTCTTTCTTATTTACTAGCATAGTCAATAGGCTGACCTTTGAGTATTATTAACCTATATATGTTAAAGAAACCATAATCCCATCTTCTTGAATGATAACAAAAATTCTGATAAATTACCTGTGAGGTTTCAAAAAATCTTTTCTATTTGGGGGGTGGAGCCTAGCTGCCAAACTGACTGGTCGCATGCAGAGCAAGCTCCGTCAGCAAAACTAATTTTCTGAGACATAATCACCTTTTCACCACGAAAAACCCAGCAATCTTCTAGCAGAATATATTCTGCACATGCATGTATTTCATTCAGAAGAGTTTTGGATGCCCGACGAGTAACTGGGAATCAGCGCACTTCTGCAGCCTACCTGTTTGAGTGGGAAAGTCAGCAGATCTTCCCAACATAAAGTATAAACACAGCAACAGCTCCTGGCACCAGCTCTCCAGCTGTACTTACCTGACACTGATGAAACTGTAACCCATTTCTTGCATTGGTTGTTCCAGCAAAGACCCATCACTCAAGCTAAAATGGCAGACGCCAAACCTTCATCTGCACCACAAGACTTAATGGAGACTACTCTAACACGACTTGAGGATATCTTCAAGGAAGTTTGGCTGAAACTGAGTCACAGACAGGCAGAGATGGGAGGGAGGAGTGGAAGTATAGGCCCATCGCACCACTTACCAATCAGAGCTGAGTACCCTACATCGTGTCCTGCACAGCAGATCGAATCTGCAAACATGAGCCAGAAGATCACAAATAACAAGTCCTGAACATCTGGTGATCGGCTCTGCTACAGGTCATCCTGTGCCCAACACCGCATCCACAGGCAGGTCTCATTACCTCGGAGGGACTATCATGCTACGACCACCTTCCAGGACATTGCCTATACCAGTGGTAACCGAAACAACAGGAACCACGAAATGGCACATAAGAAGGCTTGGGGCCGGCGGTACAACCCGTAGTGGATGGCTGGGACACAGTTTTTGTTTGGGACTTTGATAGCAAGCGTGGGTGTAGAGTGAAACCTACAAATAAGCCTGGGTGCATTGAGGGTATAATGTTTTTGCTTCTGTCCTAATTCTCAAACCTGTCATGTACATCTCAATCAGCAATATGCTTGAGTTAGATATTACAGAGCGAGGGGGGAATAAGACTATAAATGTGAAATAAAGGTATCAGCGACATATGATACATAATTGCTGTTACTTGGTTAAATGCATGTATGGCAATGTCATCAACAATGAGAGACAACTTAACTCATAGTGAGAAAGTGGAGAGAGAAAAAGATGATACGCTCACTTTGTGACAGATTAGGTTTCAGGAAGCAGTTGGTCTAGAGGCAGTTTGTGAAATTAAATGACAGAGGGTGACATTCCAGGAGAGGAGTGCATCTGAGTTCCACAGCACGTAAGTGGTAATGGGAACAAAAAGTTGACATGTTTCTCAAGATCAGAGGTAAAAATGTGCATGTCTTAAATCTTTTACCTCTATATCTGGATAGGTATGGCATTAGCCAGGAAAAATCTGTATCACAAAGAGCAATGGAGCAGGTCAAGAGGAAGTATGTGGTCAAAAGTGTCAATGGAGAAATAGAGATTTAAGAGGATTAGTGTCTTAATCGTTAATGAAAATTGGGTCACTGGTAACTATTCCTTAAGTCTATCTAAGTAAAGTGAAAGGGTCAAAACTACACAAATGAATTACACCAAGAGAGAGTTGGTAGCAATAGTGTCAAATGTATAAGTGTGAATTAGGAGGACTAGAAAGGGATAGTGCCTTTTGATTTAACAGAGACAGCGTCATTGGAGACCTTTCATTAAGGTTATTTGCTTATATTGAAAGGGTAAAAATACAGAGTAAATGAGGTTGTTATAGCAGAACAATTAATTTGACAATTATACATGATTGTTTCAAATATTTAAGCATCATAAATGTGCTTACCATGGAAGAGAACATTAATGCGATAGTATGGGCTCAATATGACATGTTTTCTGTTAAGAGTAAAGGAGTAACAGGGGTAAATATGTTAACCACTGAAGAATAAACATACATCAACTATTCTCTCTTCTCTGCAAGCCATTCGCTTCCCATGAAACAGATAATTAAAAGGTTACTCCGAGCTCCATGACCACTTCATGAGTGAAGTGGTCATGGTGTCTGTGGTCTGTATGTGCAGCATTTCACATTGAAATACTGCACATCCCAAGTTTAACCTCTTTACTCCACCACTGCTGCATCAATACAGCACTACAGAATTTGCTGGCGCTGTATAAATAATAAAAAAATAATAATAATAATAATAGTAAGCCAGGAAGAGTTCCAGGCTGGCTAATGTCAATTCTGTGTCAATTTGCCTGCTGAATGCAACTGGATTGACCTCCAACATATTCAGCTAAGGAGAAGCCAAACGCACATCTCCAGACATGGAAGGAGCCTCTGAGTCCAATAGGTACACAGGTAAGAGGACAAAACACTAATTGCGATGTGCCCTATGAAAAATATCTACCGCTCTGAATATGTAAGCAAACCATAGCTAAAACAAGTGTATTTGTTATGTATGTTTTAAATATGGAACTTTCGAACTTTGAGCTTGATTTTATTACATGACAGGAGGCTTCCTATTTTGCATAAACTTTCTTTACTTTATGCCTCCAGCAGCACAAGTCAATCAATCAAAAGAAATTTTTTTTAACCAATCAGAGTCCAGGACATCCTGTATATAAGTCTCTGACAGGCGTTCCATTTCCTCTTTCTTTGCTGCTCCAGCCAAGGCACAGGTCAGAGTACTTTTTTCTAAGACCTTTTTATTACCTACAATTAGCTTATTGCAAGTATTCAGTTTTAACATACACTTCTAGGTTATTTTCTATTTTCTTTGGTACTATTATCATTTTCTACCCTGCTCTCCCTGTCTCCTCACTCCCCTCCACTGATTTCCTCCTGCTTGGGACCTGTCTGTCAGCCCCTTTCCCTCCGCGATCGCGGCTATTTACCGCGATCGCGACCGTCAGCTGGGGCATATTTTCCTTCCGGGGGGGGATCTGAGCGGGTGGTGGGAGCTGGGGGCACAGGTTTTGTTCTTCCCTGCTGCCCACGATCGTGGCTAATACCACGATCGCGGACCGCGTCTCAGTTTTGGCGCGAACGGCGGCCATCTTGGATCTCGTGAAAAACCGCAAGATCCAAGTCGGCCATCTTACCTCCTGGCAGACCGTGACTCAAACGGTCTCTGCCCATTCCCCAGTATCACTACCCTCAGCCTGCCAGTCTACAGGGAAATCCCTGATGTAATCAGCCTCTTACAGGAATGGATGCCTATTAAGCATATGACCACTGCAGCCTGTGAAACACAGGACTGCCAGTAGAGGCAGCACTGCCTAATATCCACATTGTTCAGTATAAGTAATTAAAGATACACTCCCTGATTATTACACATACCATCACTACAGAGTGTACTCTTCCAGAGGTGACCCCTCTGAGTGGAGTGACCCCCCACAAGTGCACTGGTTATTGTTATTAAAGGGGTGCCCCCCCTACGCTGGGTGACTCCCAGTCGTGTGCTATACTCGCACCAAAGCTGTAAAAGATTCGGGGTTACCCCCTAAAATATACTGCATGTACAAATTACCGGCACCTCCACACTACGACTGGGGTGACCCGTAACTTCCTCCCACTCAACGGAGGCGGAACCTACTGCAATAGGTCTCCACTGGGCTATGATAATTGGGCACACCCCATATCACTGTCAGGCGACACAGCCTAGACGGACTCAATTCCTATTTATGACCGCTCATCCTGGTCTCACAGAGGGTGAACCCCTCGCTAGCCCATGATTGCAGACAGCGGTGCTATATCTAACAGGACCTATCAATTAACCAATTTGGTCCATTGAATACACTGGGCGAACCCCAGTCGTAAGTAGAAAGCCACAGTATTACTATTACTGTTATTACTATTCACGTACTTCGGTACCTGAACCTATCCTGTCTTCCACAGACAGAGAGACCTACGGCCATAAGAATGAGTGAGTCCTCGCAACCAACCCCACCTGACTTCCAGTCGATGATTAACTCAGCAGTGGCAGCCTTGATGGAGAAGGCTATAGCCAAGTTGTTGGACCCAGATAGGTCTACAGGGGAAAGTGCCACCTCTAAGAGGCACTGGAAGGGCAGTGGCCCAGCCCCACGGAAAGCGAAGGGCAAGGCCCCACTAAAAAGGAGCCGCCAGACAGAACGCCAGGGCCCTTCAACCTCTCCACTGACGTCCTCCGATGAGGAGGAACATAATTCTCCACCCTCACTGGAGGTTATGGACGAGTGGAGAGCAGAGGACTCCCCTTCTGAGGAAGACGACTGGCTAGACATGCCCCGAGGCGACCCAGGGTCTGACCTGGTCGAAGACCAGGACGCCCATCATGGGCATAGGAAGTCCCGCATGCAGACGGACAGACCGGAGGAAGGCGCTTTCCTGGACCCCTGAGGCACGCCTATGTTTGACCCCCGTACAATCCGCCACCCAAGGTCATCAGAGTGGGGCCTGCCAGACCACCTGGCCCAACTTATCCACTTCTGGCTGAGACAGCCAATGGAAAAAGAGGTGCGTGCAAGGCTAAAGGCCGAATGCCCGAGACCCATACTACCGGACAAAATTGCACACACCCTGGAATTTGATACCACCGTGGTCTTATTCATGTCACGAGCGGGTCATGACCCACGTAAAGGCATTGAAAAGGGCCTCAAGGCCCCCAAGACATACTGGGCCCACTAGCCAAAATCTTATATCTCGCGGATGGGGCCCACACAAGAGGCAATGTCCTAGACGCCCACGACATCCGGGAATGGGCGCAACGCGCTATTTGCATGTTGGGCAATACTAACGCCGCCCTATGTGCAGAGAGACGCAAGGCTGCGTTGCTGAAGATGGATTCCAAACTCCTGGAACTCAGTAAAAAGGAATTGGGACCACGGGCCAACGGCCAACTGTTTGGGGGATCGTTCATCGGTGAATTGAAGAAACACGTGAATTTGTTCACTACGTTAAGTAAAGCACAAACTTCGATTACGCAAGTTTTCCGCAACCCCACACCGTATAGAGGGGTTTTCGGCAGGGCTGGTCGCCAACGGGGCTGAGCCACCAGCTGCTTCTGGCCGGCAGGCCCCAGGAATCAAGCGACTCAAGCTTTCTTCCCATCAAGACCACCGTTCACTAGAGGATTCTTTCGTCCCAGAGGGTCTCGTACCCGTGGCCGCGGGCGCATCAATACAGGTGAGCACTCCACAACTAATGTATTGCCAATCACATGTCACTGCTGGCAGACTGTCTCTCTTTTCACAGAATTGGGAAAAGATATCCTCAGACGCCTGGATCCTCCAAACGATCAGGGGTTACGAGATCGATTTTACGGACACACCGATACGGGCGTCGGTGGGGCATACCAAAATCATAGACGACGAAATCCGAAACCTATTCCTCAAGGGAGCAGTCGAACTCGCTCCAGACGATACAGGTTTCATCAGCAATATATTTGTAGTCCGGAAAAAGATGGGAGACTACCGATCCGTCATCAACCCGCGGCAACTAAGTACATTCGTAACCTACAGACACTTCAAAATGGAGGGCATACACCTCCTCAGAGACTTGCTTCTGGAGCACGACTGGTTCACTCGATTGGACTTAAAGGATGCCTACCTGTCGGTTCCGATAGCCCATTCCAGCCGACCTTTCCTTCGCTTCCGCTGGAGAGGACGCACGTGCCAATTCACATGCCTCC